GTATCCTTTAGGAACCGGACGGGACTGTTAGCCAAAGTGGAGGACCTAAAGAACCGGTGTATGGAAGGGCTGGTGAAACGGGTGGTGGCAGTGGTGTTGTACTCCATGAAAAGGCAACGAAAGACTATGTGTCGCAAAAAGGCGTCCAAAAAGATGGTTGAGATGGTAGGCGCCGGCAAATGCATTAACGCCGTGCGTCCCGACGCCCAGAGGTGTGTCGATGAGGCCATGGATCACATCATAGGCATCAGGAATATAACCGACAATAAAATGAAAATACCGTTTGTTTGCTGGTAAGGGGTTTAAGATTTTTATTATTTTGTGAGTTTTGAATTATCTTGATTAAATATTTGGGTTTAGATTATGTGTCACTTATTTTACATTTATTTATGTTAGGATTTAGTTAATAAATTATTTGTATTCATTAGTAATTTTTAATAACTTATTTAAGTTGCTATTTTAATAAAATAATTATTTTTTAGAATGAAATTACCCTTGTTATTTGAATTTAATAAATTATTTTTACATAATGAAACTAACACTAAAATTGAATTGATAATTTATGAACTAATTAAATATACTTTAAGCTGTAACAAATAAAAATACTTTACTTATTAATTAATTTTAAAATTATTAATTAATTTTTTAATTACATTAAAACAATTACTATTTTGTAAAAATTTTTATTTTATTTTTTTACCTAGCACATTTGTTAAACTGAAAGCGTGTCTACTGGACCATGGTCATAAAAACAAACAGTGCACTGAACAACACCTGAACCTATTGCTCCGGCAGTCGGAACAGGTATCTAACGGACCCATGAATATGGCGTGCGGTGACTATAATGAGGAGAGCGACCGGTGCGACAAACTGGTCATACCTAAGCGACAACAGGACGAGCCCCTACCCAAAAGCTTTTTAATGCCCCTGGTCGAGCTGTTTGATAGTTTCGAGGAGTAGCTTGATAATTAATTATTGAATTTATAATTAATATTGATTGTGTAATGTTAAAGTTTGATAGTATTTTATTGTATACTTTTTGTATAATTGCGTTTATACTTGCTATTAACTTGTAAGACATAAAGTTTTTATATTATTTAATATAATGTTTTTGTGATGGGTTATTTTTGTAAAGTATGAGATACTGAATATAAATATACAAATTGTAAAACAATTTTTAAAAATATTTTTAAACACTAATATCGGTGAATGAACATTTTATTTTTACTTAATGTATGAATTATAAATAATGTTATAAGTAACCGCAATGTATATGCAAATAACCTTGACCATAAAATAAACTTAAATGTAAAAATAGCCTGGTGTATGTTTTTCACATCATAATAATAGTAATAATCGAGTATTCAATCAAAAATTATTATGTAATCCAGAGATAAAAACAAATTAAATATCGATTACGAGATGTTAATAAGTAGTTCATTGAAACCTGTGGTATACGTGCGGTTAAAATGGCTAATAAATAAAATACATTTTGTTTGCAAACTATAGATATAAATGATTTAAAATAATTTTATTTTTAATATAGACTAAATCTGATAATAAGTACTAAAAGTTAAATATTTTATATTATTTACACTTATGGTAATTCTCACATTATTTGACATTAAATGTTTAATAA